CGTCCTCTCAGCAAGCCGCCATTACGGGAACCCTTAACTGGTTCAGGGTTGAACCTCTCCAGATGTTCCAGATGTTGTGGCTAATGGGGTCACTGAGGACGTTCTCTCTTTCTCTGTTTATTCAGGCCCAGCTGTTGGAGCTGCGGACCCAGAACTACCAGCTGTCCGACGACCTCAGGAAGAACTCTGCAGGTAACCTCCATACTTCGTCCCTGGCTTTTGTGGTCGGAAAATTCACTCACTAAAAGTTTTCACACAGCCTGTTTCACCTGTAAGGCCACACTGTGTTTTTAGACAGACGTACCTTCTTCCCATATTAAGCCAGATTCTTTCTCCAGGTTTATTCATAACATGTTGCTGTTTAACCAAAGTGTCTGTAAGTGGTTTGGACTCTGACTGCTTTCCATTACTGTAAGTAAGGAGGAACGAACGCTGCTCAGGCAGAACAGGGCTGATTACCATAATAATGGCCACATGATGAACCGTTCTCTCACTGGAAAGATAAAAATAAAGTGCCCACTGAGTGAAATAGTTGAACACTTTTTTCCCACTACAGTGTCCAAGACAGAACAAGCCCACATCATGAGCCCTCCGCCGCCATGCTTTAAAGTTAGTGGCTGTTCTGTGTCCAACGTCTCATCAGAGGACATCGTCCTGTCCTTCATCTAAGCCCGGGGTCTTCAAAGTTTTCCAGGACAAGGACCCCAAACTGATGGCGAGATGGAGCGGGGACCCCCGTATTATATATATATAGTATAAAATAGTGTTCTATCAAACTGGTCCTATAGTCACTCTATTACAGATGGAGTAATGTAACTAAAGTAATCCCTCCCTGGGATTATTAAAGTATTTCTGATTCCTGGTTGATGGGACAGGTGTTGATGACTGAAAGACATCTTCTGCCTCCATTTATCTGTTTACTACAGTCTGTTGAATTCATGTTAATGTGGATTTAAAGACATTTCAAATAGTGGAAAAAAGTCTAATAAACCAAAACTTTTGCGATCCCCATGCAGTACCTCCGTGGACCACTAGAGTTTGCAGACCCCCTGTTGAAGACCTCCGATCAAGAGTCCTTGATTGCTTCCAAAAATCCGACTGGTTCTGGGTAGGGGTGGAACGGTTCACAAAATCCACGGTTCTTTTCACAGTTTCGAGGTCACGGTTTTCGGTTCGGTATATGTTGATTGTTAGCCTGACATGTTGGTAGGGTGGCCATTTCTATAGCACCAAAAAGGAGGACATTGTGCGGAATATCAATAAATTACTAAGGTGTACATAAGAATCA